ATCAAACCCTAATTTCATCAAGGTAATAATGTTCTGTTTTTATGTTTCAAAGAGAAGTTGATTTAACTTTATGGATAACTAAGAGAAAGAGACGTGAGAGGGTCTGGAAAAACTGTCCTGGCAGTTTTAAGGTCACAGGTACTGATCTGCAGCATGAAACATGAGAAGAAGCAACACAATCTGGGATACGCATGCACGCACGCATGCACGCACGCACGCACGCACGCACGCACGCACGCACACACACACACACACACACACCACATCCATCTATCCATCAGGCACTAGGCCTCCTCTGATACAGACTGGCCTGAAGCCAAGAAAACTGGATCACTCCAGAGACAGAAAGATGTTTGTGACAGAGAGCAGTGCTGAGGACGAACGTCTATCAGAACTGTGGTGGACAAAATCTTCAACATCTGCTACAACGATCAATAGAAAATACAGAAAATTAAATTAAACACACAAAGGATACAGCAAGATCTTAAGTCATGAAACAGATATCAACTAAAACGTACAATAACATGAAATTATAACAAGTTTTGATGTTGATGAAAAAGAGAATAAAGTGATTCAATGAAGGTTATTCATGAGTTGCTAATTTCCTGCAAACATTTCTATTTTATTGCTAAAGATCAAGGCCGACGACTGGTGAAGAACATACAACTATTGTAAATCCTCTCATTAATCAGTAGACATTGTTGGTGGTGTATTGTTAAACTGAGACCACACCCTCAGTGTCAATGGGATTTCTGCTCTCTGAACAGATATCACAGTTGTCACCGTACATCTTTGCAGTCTTCTTTATTGCAGCTCGTCTTCGTGCGAAGATCGAACCACCGCACCGTGCCGTCCTCCCCGCATGACAGAAACGTGTAGGGGTCATTTGGTACCGTCATAATCTGAAAAAAAAAAGGGAAGGTTACGATTAAAGAAAACAGAAAACATTAGTGAGGTTTGTTATTTCTAAAGTACAAGCTCTGTGTTGTGTTGACATTTCTCTGGTTCAGTACCTCATAAGCTGTCCCATAGTGACAAGTGAACTGACATTGTCTGTTGTGCTCAGGACTCTTCTCAGTGTTGGTGTAGTAGATGATGCCATCTCCAGAGCAGGAGATGATCTCCTGATCGTTGGTGTGCGGCATGAACTTCGCACTGAAGATGTTCGCCCGATGACCTGAACGTATCGATTTCTTAACCTGAAGATGAACAAAAACGTGACAGTTTGTTGGGACAATCTTTAACATATTAAACTCTCTCTGACCTTAACTTTTAAAAACAAGAAATACTGCACTGAATTCGATTTGTTTCCATGAAAAGAAAGCGTGTAAAAAAATGACACTCCAGTGGTTAAAAAAGAGAATTTTACTAATGACTATGAGATAAAAGTGTTGATTTATTTAGTTTTTTCCAAGAAACTATTAACAGAGAATCACAAAAACGCTCAAGACATGATTCCTCCACTTTTTATCACCTTTTTAGTGTATTTGTTTTGGGGCAAACCAACACTAAGGAAAATCCATTTCAAACACCATTTAGTGTCTCTTCAGGTATCTCAGAGTGATCGCTGGTAGCTTGTTACAGCCAGGTTTGGCAATTGACAGATACATTT